AAGGTCCTTGGGAGAACATCCCTCCTGAGATCCTCCTTGGGTTTCTATAGAAGTGTGAGAAGCCAGGGAGGCTATAGATCCCTGGACAGATATATGCAGTGACAGAAGGATATTCCTAGATACTCCTCAGTCATCTCAACACTAAATGGCAAAGACATTGTGCTTTACTTTTGTCTTTTGAAGACCTTTCAAAAGCCCATCCTCTTTCATCAAATGGAATGAGAACCATACAAAGAAGCGCTGGAGAATTTCTCTACCAAGCATGGCTTCCTGTGATGTTTCCTAGTTAAACTGAAATTCAGGAAGAGATGGACAAAGGGCTAAATAAACCAGAAGTATGTGTCTGTTTGTGTATGTACAGTGATGGTGGCTGGAAAGTAAAGGAACTAAAGGTGGAGGGGATCCTGGTGAGCAAACAAAGGCATAATCATTAGATGTCCAAGTGGGTGGAGAAGATGGCACTTTTGGCAGTATTTCTTATCTGGCTTTTTTTGTTCTTGCAAAGAAAGCCGTGTTTGATTATTAGGAGTGTTCCTATATTTGACCATCACTCCCAAGGTAGATAGATAGCTTGTGTGTTTTATTAGTAGTTTCCTCTTTCTCTGTCTCTTGGTCTCTCTCTCTCCAAGGAAAGCAGCTTCCTGAGAAAATAAACTTGCAATCCAATTACCCTGCAGTTACAAGACTGCAGGATATGACCTTGCAAATGACTGGAAAATTCAAAATGTGAAACAGTAAATCTCATTTGCTTGGGTTGGCTCTTGGAAGCTGGCCACAAATTAGTCTAATAGTCCAACCCTGCCTTTTCTCTGGCTTAGAAGGTCTACTGTTCCCCTCTTAGGGCCTTTAAAAAAAAAAAAAGAAGGGTCAATTACTTAGGGAGCCCTTGTTGTGGTTCAATAATCAGATACTTAGAATTTTTCATTAAAGGAGTTAAGATAGACATTGTTGTTCTGTTAGTTGTTTCAGGAGCAGGCCATTACAACAAACCTGGGTGGTGGGTTTGGCTGACCCAAAATCCTGACAGGCCAAAATTTACCCAGTGAGTTTCCATGGCTGAAGGGGGACTAGAACTTGTGCCTCCCCACTCTAAGTCCAGCATCTTAACCATTACATCACAGTGGCTTTTGGGGGGAGAGAGAGTGACTGGCCCAAAGTCCCCTACTGAGCTTCTGTGGTTGAGGGGGACTTGAACTCCTAGTCTAGGTCCTTCTCTATTATATCAGTCTGATTCTTGGGTAGAGAGAAAGGGACTGGCCCAAAGTCTTCCAGGGAACTCCTGTGGCTGAAGGTGAGACCAGAAACTTGGTCTCCCTGTTCTTAGTCCAACACCTTCATCCCTACACCATAGTAGCTTTCAAAAATATTTCATCCGTTAATGCATCTTGCCTTACATACTGCTATATCTCACCTCACTGTGTTCTGTTCTAATTTTAGTGTATCACAAGAGCACAGAACTTTGCTCCAAATTTCAGGCACCCAAGCTATGGGCCTAAAGATAAGGTATAGGGCCACAGAAAGTCCTTAGGCTGTGGTTTGTTGAACCGCCCTTTAGCAGATTTGGGGAAAGATGAATCTTAGTCTTAGGTCTTCTTGAGTAGATAACACTAAGAAGAGAATGTTGCTGAATTCATTTGGGGTTAAAATGCATGAAGTCCTTAATAAATGAGGCAGAAAGAATTTGAGTTTTTAGAAAATGTGGGAGACTGTGAAACTGACCGATTTGGCCTTCTCCAGGTAGTATTGTGCTAGCTGTAGCGTTTATGGACTAGTGAATCTTATATGGGGAAAGGCAGAACTAAGTTTAGAATACACAGACATTAACACATTTCTAGTGGAAAAATGGAAATGTGGTCACGATGCTCTGCTATGTCAGAATAGCAGAGTAGCATAATTCTAGCCTTTTGTATCTGTATGATGGGAAAGCAGCCCATTTAAAAAACAAGTTCCAATTTGGCCCCAGAGTGCCAAAAGGGCTAGTGCTGGGTCATTTCTGTAAGCAAAATGTAAATATAGAAGCATTACTACTGGGATGGGAAAAGATTTTGGCAAAGACGGGGAATCTAGCTGATGAGGGAAAACAATCCCTACTTTGTCTCTTATGGGTATTACAGGCTTTAATTTTGAAGAATAATGAAGTAGCCACTTCAAGCACTGAATTAGAATAGGCAGCAACTAGGGCCGAGCCCCCATCTTCTTCCTTCTCAACCCTCCATCCAGACTAGTTGCTTCATACCACCTAAGGGGCATAGCTCTCTGCCTGCCATCCCAGATGATCATTCCCTGCAAGTCACTTTAGGAGCAGGTCTTTAGAGCAAAGCCATGATGCAGGCAGTTGTCATGACCATTCCATAGTATGCCACTTGGAGGACCCTATCAAAGAGATACAATAGGGCAGCCAACCAATTGGCTGGTCAGAGGCTTTGTGGGAGAGATCAGAAGATCCTCTTTTCCCATCTCAGGCTTCAGTCTGCATGGTAGGTCCTGTTGGGTGGCCCTCAGTTTGGGTCATGACATTGAGACCATGGTTGGATTTTTGTCACCCCATAGAACAGGAATGTGAACCAGATGCCCTTGGAGGGCCAGCTCCCCTTGTTCCTTTCCCATCCTTAACTCCGCCCCCCAAAATATAGTCTGAAATTATGCCACAGAAATTCCACTTTCCAGTCCTGCTAGAATTGTTCCATTCTCGACCCTCCAAGATGTTATAATGCCCCCCAAAATATAGTCTGAAATTATGCCACAGAAATTCCACTTTCCAGTCCTGCTAGAATTGTTCCATTCTCGACCCTCCAAGATGTTATAATGCCCCCCAAAATATAGTCTGAAATTATGCCACAGAAATTCCACTTTCCAGTCCTGCTAGAATTGTTCCATTCTCGACCCTCCAAGATGTTATAATCCCAGCTTTTTTTTTTTTTTTTTGACCCTTTGAGTCAGTTTTGGCAAGGTTTTTCGAAGTGGTTTGCCCTGGCCTTCTTTTTCCTAGGGCTGAGAGAGAGGGACTGGCCCAAGGTCCCCCAGATGGCTTTGTGCCTAAGGCAAGTCTAGAACTCCTGGTCTCCTGGTTTCTAGCCTGTTGCCTTCACCACGACACCAAACTGGCTCTCACAGTCCCAGCCTACTTTGCCTCTCTCCCTCCCCCACCCTGGATACTTCCCAACAATGCTCTGATGGAACAGATGGGATTCCCCATCCTACTCAGGTAACTTTCTCTAAGGAAAGTTCATTTTATTTACATGCCAGACGTTACAGATGGATGTCTGCATCTCCATTGCGGGCAGAGGAACAATCCTGCCCCAGACCTTGGAACAATGCTCCTGGTCTGTTCAGACCAGCTTCCCCCAACTGGGTACAGCCTGGTTCCCAAACTTTATTTCGAATTCCTTTGGTCAGTGGTAGGGCTGGTGTTGCTGATTTCGCCTTCCACTCCTCCCTAATCTAAGCTGCTGGATTTACAAAATCCCCCACAGAAGGGGTTGCCTTGGTTTTCTCTTGGAATTGAATGGAAGCTCCAGGACACAAGACTAACACAATAAGCCACTTTTTTATAACGATGAGAATGTCTCCAAGTCCTCCCTATCGGTTGAACGAGAACGGTTCCAAAAAATGCAGGTATATTTTTTGGCGCGGCACCCTTTTAACACCCTGCTTTTTGTGGAAGGGATAATAATCCAATATTTTACAAGTCTGTATCTGGTGAAGGTTGCCCATTTCTAGTTGTGGTATTGTTTGCTTCTGCCTGGGTGGTCTGATATTTAAGAACATGGCAAAAACACATCTCTTTTCAGTGAACTTGGTTTTGATTGTCATGATTTTGCTACCAGGTTTTAGATTTTGCATTTAATTCTACTATTGTATGCGGTTTGAAGGACGGTACAAGTAGAAACACGGGAGCGTCCATTGATTAACAAGAACAGCTTGTATAGCCAATGGCTCCTCCCCTTCCCCAGTTTGATTTTCCTGTTTAGGAATGCCTTGGCACTTCAGGCTGAAATGCCTTTTTTAAAAAATTGCTGGCTCCTGTAATTATATATAATCCTTCTAGTAACGCTGTCTTCTGTTCGCTTTTATTGCATTTTGCAATGTTTATATTGTTGCTTTGGAACTGATTTATTGCTGGCCTTTCTTGTTGCCATTTCCATTATGTAACAATGTTTTTCTTGGAATGGATCTACCGTTTTTTGCAAGCTGGCTGACCTTGTCTGGGCTTGGAAGCTAAGTTGGGTCAGGTCTGGCTAGTATTCAGATGGGAGACTATTTGGAAATTACCAGGGCTATACACTAGGCTAGAAAGCTAAACAAACATGGGAAGAAAGCAGTGGCAAGCTACTTTTGTACTGTTCTGAAAAGAACTTACATGGATGTGTCCATAAAGTCACCAGGAGTCAAGATTGTCCTGAGGAAGGTTTTACCTGGCCTACCAGAAACTTTATCTATTTTTCAGGAAAGGAACGATGGGATGTCAACATTTCAGATGAATAAATGTTGGTGTCATCCTCATAGTTGGGGTGAACTTTCATCAAGCCACAAAGTTTTGGGATGGAGAATCACCAATATTGTCTTAAGAAACACCAAAGTGTAACCATGCCGTAGAAGGATGTACCGTATCTCTGAGCATTAGCGGCCAAATCAATCAATCAATCAATCAATCAATCAATCAATCAATCAATCAAAATGTTGGCCTTTATACACAATATTTGCGGTGCTGATTTGTAGGGAGAGTCAAGTGGGTATAGTTTCAATACAAATGGGACATGTCTCTCTCTAGTGGTGAAAACTTTGATTGGGTGAATTGTGTACCTGTCCAGGGAGCTGTCAGAGTTTTTCAAACCATGAATAGGTTTCTGGGCCTTCACGTTCACTGGTTTTCACATTCACTGGTTGGAATCTTGAGTGAAAAATGTAAAACGATATCAGATCTGTTTGGAGTGCTCATTTCATGCTGACATTACTTTCCTGTTTTTTTTTCTCTCTCTCTTCCCCCCCCCCCCCCCAAGTCTGCAGAGTTCTTCGAAATGCTAGAAAAAATGCAGGTAAGCAAAACAGCATGCTCCATCTAGATCCTGATGCTTTCAGTGTGATGAAGGGGATTGGACAAAGTTCTGGAGGGTTGGGGCAATCGATGTAGGCTATCCTTGATGGCGGATCGCTGCCTCAGAACAGCATGCCTTTAATATCCGCTGTTGATTGGGCAAGGGACAGCAGAGGAAGGCGAGCACTCATCACTGTATTGATGTCATACCATATTTATTTATTTATTCCCCCCCGCCCATCTGGGCGACTCACACAAAACATTAAAAACGTAAATATATATAAATACATAAAACATCAATTTAAAAACATTTCTAAAAAAGGGAAAGGAGA